AGAAAAGAATGGGGATGTATCACTGTCTCTTGTTAATTTCCCTCCTTTTTATATTATTTTGCAGAGCACTCATACCATTGCCCATCCTTTTCTAGTATTCATGGGCTAAACATGAAAAGGACGGGACGGGTTCAAGCCACACCTGCCCGTCCCCGTCCTTTTCATGTGTCCCTTTATTATCTATCACTTGTAAAGTAAAAAAATTAATATATTAAATCAATAAATATAATTATTATATCTATGCTATTAGATGCCAACATTGAGGATGGAAATTGTGAAACATATTGATGGTGGTTGTTGGGCAATAACTGATTCTTGATTGTAAATATCTATTAGCAAGATTCCATGGATTTTTAGAATCATTATTGATGGTATGCTTATTATTGTAAAATCTTCAATAGTATATAGAATGCATGTGAAAACTCATAATATATAATAATAATAGTAACTCCTAATGGATTTTTAGAATCATTATTGATGGTATGCTTATTATTGTAAAATCTTCAATAGTATATAGAATGCATGTGAAAACTCATAATATATAATAATAATAGTAACTCCTAAAATTGGAAAAATTTCAGTCTAATAGTAAATCTGATGGTTGAAACCAACAGTCTGGACTGCACCAAATAATTGAAATGATTATTGGTTATCTATGTCTAATGTTAACAATCATTATTACTATGTTCCAAAATCCAGGAAATATTTTTCTGGACTATAAATGAATCGTCTTGTTTCAAAATTAAGATAAAACAGTTTGAGGATAATGAATTCCATATTTTATTGTGTCTTGACATATTTTAATGTGTAACTGGTCAATAGAATGGTGATTAGCCCTAAAAAATTTATTTGCTTTGCTAAAAAGCTATTTTATTATTCAACAGCCCATCAAACCAATGGATTTTTGCTAGTATAATAATAAAGTATTCATAACATTATGATCATACCATGCTGAATTTTGGGGTTCAAACAAAATCAGCACATATGCCATGGACCCAATGGATTGCTAATGGACCACACATTTGCCAACCCTAGCATATGCTGCGACTAAGGTTGCTTGCCAAAACTCATCCAGAAATAAATCAGCAGGTTACACATTAATTGTTTATTAGAGTTTTGGCAGAGTTTCGCATTTTGAGGTTTCGCCTTTCGGCATAGTTTCAACAGGATTTTTGATAAGATTTAATATAGTTTTGCCGTGGTTTCAGCAATTACTAAGGAGGTTTCGCCCACAACCTTAGCTACGACCCAAGTATTTTCCTCCCATGCAAGTACTCTGACAATTTTTTTAACTATAGTTGGCTTAGTCTAAAGACCTCCTAAATTTTGGGAAAATTTTAAAAGTATAGAAGTCACTTTCTGTCCTACCTTTTAAAAAAATAGCTATATTAGTTGATAGAATATGTCTTTAGTTTTAATGTAATAGAGAGATTTTCTCAAAAAAATTATTTGTTGTAGAGTCTTATTCTTTTTTAAAACATGTACAGTCACGTCACAAAGTAATGCCTGATTTTCCTGTGTAATGACAATACAATGCATTTACACAGCCCGTTTCTTCCCCTTTTTTGTATAACTTTTCTCATCTTAAACATATCTATTGCCATATCAGCATGCAGTTCGTGAGTTGACAGGAGGTTCTGTGGTTTATCAACAGGACAACGCACCGATCCATACTTCAAAAGCAACCAAGGAATAGCTAAGGACTAATAAAATTGCAACTATTGACTGGCCGGTGAATTCGCCAGACCTGAACCCGATAGAGAACATTTGGAAGTTGTTAAAGGATAAGCATGAAGACTTTCTGAGAACTGTGAACGAACTTAAAATTGCATTGAGAGAGGAGTGGGAAAATTTGGATCGCTCTGTTTTCGAGGAGGTTGTTACCTCAATACCAAAAAGAATCGATGTGGTATTAAGAGCAAATGGTGGGCCGACAAAGTATTAGTTAGATATTAAATTTTTTTTTATGTATAAATTGCTAAAAAATAAAAAAAATCAATAAATATCTTTATTTTCGGTTTCAATTTTGAATCAGGCGTTACTTTGTGACATGAATGTACTTTACTATGCTCGCGAGGAATTTTCCACTATGATCATTTCTAAATTTAGGAAAAATATTACCAAATTTAGACTAGCTCTCGACTATCGTATCTAAATTTGGCAGTAAGAAAACTAAAATCACGTGAAGTCCTATTTTTTGAAAAATTTTAAACGAATTACAAAATTGCTATTTTGAAATTTGGACGAATGGTGCAGCAATAGGAGGTCTTTAGACCGAGCCAACCATAATATTTTATAAATTGTTTATGCATTTTTCTATTATTAGTAAATTAATTCCAAGTCATGTGTCCATTAATTTATCATTGGTCAAAATTATTAAAAAATGACAACAGTTGAAAAAATTGAAAACCAATTAAACATTACACTTGGAGAATATAAAAAGGCGAAAGAGAAATTAGAGAAGTGGGAAGAGGGGGAAGTTTAAGGGAAGTGGTTGAAGAGTTAAAGGGAAAAATGAGAAGTGAAGAGCTTATTGAAAGGGAGGAGAAGCAGCTAGCTAAACTGGAAGAAGAAAGGAAGAAGTTAGAGGAAACAAAGGAGAGGTGGGAAAAGCAGGTTGAATATTTACAACGTGCAGTTGCTGACTTGGGAAGTGAAAAAGGTAATGAACAAATTATGTAAAAAAATGTACAAAAAATTATTTTCCATTCATTCCATTTCATTTATTTATTTGGTATACTGTTTACAATTTCTTTATGTTTTTTTTAATAATTTAAATTTCAACTCTTCCTATCTATCAATTTTCAAAATTATTCTTTCATTTTTTTCAATCATCTAGTTAATGAAGGTATGCATCTTTACTGTTTTAATATACTCTTTGTGATATTGGTTAGCTTATTAATTAATTTATAATTTTGATTCTTTAAAATAATATCATGAATTAAAAGCTGATGAAAACATACCACTTTTTTGGAAAACATTACTTGACTCACACAGCTTGGTGCAAAATAACATTTTTTCATTTCCAAATGGCATTTCCTTTTTATTCTGGAAACAACAATCCTACCTTATTAGAAAGAGTTACAATAAGATTTATGAAAAAATTCAAAGTGAAATTCAAGATGAAAATAAAAATGAAAATGCTTCATTATTTCTTGTAACTGGTAGTCCAGGCATAGGAAAGACATACTTCGGTCTTTACTTGTTTTATCATTTTGCAAAATTAAAAAAAGAAATAATTTATCAACATTTCAACTATCCAGAAAGTGTTTATTATTTTTCATCAAAAGAATGTAAAGTTTTTGAGGGGAAAACTCTGAAAGAATTTGCCATGGTGTTAAATCTGGAATCAACAATATACATAGTTGATGGTATGATACCTACAAATTATTCTGCAACAATAATAGTTCTTACTTTACCTAAAAGAAAGATAACAAAGGCTATAAAAAACTGCGGACATGGGAATCTTATTACATGCCAACATGGTCAATAAGTGAAGTAGAAGATGCCTGCAATTCATTATATTATTCTAGATCTATAAATGATGCAAAAGAGATATACGATTTTTGTGGAGGCATTGCTTGTTATATTTTTGAATGGAAAAAGGAAAAAACTCTTCAATAAATGGAGAGTGCAGTTAAAACCTGTGACCTTGATAAGATAATAAATTTTATTGGTGATACTGATGCACCTCATAATACTTCTCACATGATAATGCACATGGTAGTAGACCCCTCAAACTTTTCAACAATACAAAGTTCAATTTGCCTCTTCTATTATCAGAGAAAAAATATATCAAAGATTTCTAAATGAACAAAAGTTTCATTACATAAATTTTTAAAAGCATGTGAAGATGAATCAGTTGCAGGTGGTATTTGTGGTAATCTGTTTGAAGAATTTTCACATAAAATGCTAAAGGGTGGTGGAAAATATGAAATAAAATTATTAGAGTCAGAAGAAGGAAATCCACAAAGAAAAAAACTTGAACTTAACAGTGGAGCATCTGCTTCTTTAATTAATGAATTAAATTTGACTGTGAAAGGAATCTTTAAGTTTTCAAAGCTTGAACAAATAACAACAGAACATCAAGGTTTTTATTGTTATCCATCTATACATTCATTTGAATCAATTGATGCATTCATTCCAGGAACTAGATCTTCAAATCACAGACTTTTCCAAATGACAATTTCAAATTACATCCCATTAAACAAAATAAAGTTAACAAATTAATTAAACACCTTAATGAACTTCAGAATGAAACAAAAGAGGCAGAACTATATTTTGCAGTTCCAGATGAAATTTATTTAACCTTTAATAAGCAGAAGTTCCAAACAAAACAAGGAAATGATGCAAAAAGAACACCACCAATTGTATATTCTATCAAGCAATATTCTCTTAAAATTCCATTGGATGCAAATATGATGGCTTCTTAAAATTATGAATTCTAGATTTCTATTTTAATTCTTTTAATTCTAAATTTCATTTTTTTTCTGCGTATACAAATTTCTATCATATAATTTGTAAGTCTTATTCATCTTAATAAAAAAATTAATTAGTAAATAATATAGATGTGGATTTGTCATTATTTCACAATGCTATGATTTTGACAATCATTAATTACATTTGCATAATGATAAAGAATTTCTTTGTAGTAATTATCAGTAAAAACTAATAATAATAATGAATTATAATAACAAAATCAACTCTCTTTACTCCTTAATTAAGCAAGAATCCCAAAAAAAGGCACTAAGTTAAGAATTATTTATGGTTGAGATGAATGTATATTTTCCTTTAGGGCAACTGCGATTTATAAATTCAGTAATGGCACAATGCTTTTCAAAGAATTCTTTGAAGATTTTTGAGAAAAAGCAAATGCATCTACTTGTGACTTGGATGACACTGTCAAGTTTACATATGAGGGAACTGGAGAGCCTATGAAAAGTTTACAAAATTATTTGAAGGAAACCCTAAATATAAAGTATTAGATGTGGTTAGTGAAATGCCTTTTCTTTCCATCTCTGAAGAATTATTAAAATGCTTAAAAGAAAGTTTAATTAGTGAATTGGTTGTTGAAGTTTGCACTTGGAATTTAGGTAAAGATGGAAAGTCATCTATGGTAGTTAAGTCAAAGAAATACATTTTTTTGAGAAATTTGGAAATTTCCACAATGTAAATTAGATATTTATTTGATCAAAAAAGTCAATGGAAAACACAAATCATTCGCTTGAGACTAAGTTAAAGGTAACCACCAGACTTTGACATGGGTATCAATGGCGATCCTCCTCATATTGTAGCTACTCAAAAAGCTTTCCAGACAAGATTTTTGTAGTGCCTGACTACAAAATGAACAGAGAATTCTAAGTCTCAATATTTACCACATGAAAAACTACTGTCTCTGACTTAAAAGATGAAGATTTGGCCAAAGCTGCTGAAGAATATAAAAACAATCTTTCGAAGAATGAAAAAAAGTTTGATTGGGTTATGAATAGCAGGTATAACTTTAATTTCAGGCTTTATTATTGCCATGATTTATTTTGTTAAAAGGATTAAAAAGAAAAATGGATAGTATGTAATAAGATTTATTTGTCTTCTAAAGGCTTCTGCTTTTTGTTAGATAACAATGCACCTTCATGCTGCTTTCTTTTACTAACATTTATTATTTTCTTTCTTCTTGGTAAATTTCATAAATGATCCTTTCTTTTTTTAGATAAGCTTCAAGTGTCTGAGTATCATTTATTTTGAAAATATAAGGAGCAATTTTTTCACTATAATTCTTGTGTTCCATAGTGGATCTGGTATAAATTAGTTTCATAGTATTATTTTATATAGGGATAACAAATAGGATATTATAAAACTGCTAATTATAATCATATTACTAATGACTAAATTTTGATCCCTGAAATTTTTGGTAATACCAATGTTCACTTTGTCTGGTTTTGTTGCAGCATGCCACATATAAGAAGAAAGCCTAGGTAAGGCTCTGAACAAATCAATGAAATTCGAACCAATTTGAATTGGTTCAAATTCAAATTGATTTGAATCACTTAATTTTTGATTCATTTCATTCAAATTGAATTCGAATTGAATCCAAATTGTACTTTGATTTGATTTGATTCAATTTGAACTGATTTGAATATATAATTTGATTCAAACAAACAGATTTGAATATATAATTTGATTCAATTTGAACTGATTCAAATATATAATTTGATTTGAACTAATTTGATTTGATTCAAACTGACCGGTTCGAATCTATAATAATAACTGATTTGAATCCATGATTTGAATCAAATACACTATATATAATAAATGAAAAATCTTTAATTTAATGTATATTTTATAATTTTATTTACAAAAAAAATTTTTATTTTATATTTATTTATATAGTATTAATATTGTAAAATTCAAAAAAAAATTTTTTACCTGAAGCAATAATTGCATCTTGCCTTTCCATCTATGGTTGTAAAATGATTCCACACAATGCTTCTTGTTCTTCTTGCTGTGCTTGTTGAAGAAATTGAAGAAGTTGAAGAAGCATCAGTAAATATTAGTACTTATTATTTTAAATTTAATGAATTGTACAACTGTGAATCGTTACTTTTTTACTCATTATTAATATTATTTCATCTATTATTTATTTTTAATTTTATTTTATCCTATTTGTATTTTGTAATAATTTCCGAATGAATTAATTTAATTATATGAGTTCGTGTTACATTCCGCAGAAGTAATTAATTATATAGTAACACGTTCGCATTAGACCTTATTTAGTAGAAATTAATGAAGATTATCCTGAATCAGGATATATATCTTAGATTAGGAGAATTATCCAAAGTACAAGGAAGGATAATTACAGTTGCGATCATAAATAATGCAACAAAAAAATAAAATTCATTAAATTGAAATATTTTGTGAAAATTCAAAGACATGCTTTTTTTTTTTATGATAGTTTCGTTTGTTAATAACATTGTTTTTATATATTGAAATTCAAGGGTGGATCCATAAATCAATTATTTTTCAAATGATGCATTTATTCAATAAGTGGTGTTGCATTATTTATTTTCTTTTTTAACACAGCTTACATAATATATAAATTTTAGCTAATCCAAATATATGAAATAAAATAAAAATAACAACATTATAGAATTTAACCTCTACCGCCTTGTATAACCACCTCATGCCTTGATAACATCATGGATTTGTTCTGGCATAGAATGGATTAAGTTGGTACAAGTTTCAACATCAATTTCAAACCAAACCCGTTGTATCTTATTCCGTAAATCCTTGCCCAGGGAGATGCCTGAGACAACAATCAACCTCATTCCATAGATGCTCTATGGGATTAAGGTCTGGGGATTGGGGAGGCCAATCCAAGATCTTTATTTTATTATTTTTGAGCCATCGTTTTGTTGAATTCGCCATATGCTTAGGGTCTCCATCCTGTTGGAATATGACCTCTTTGACATTAAATCCATGATCTTTGATAGTATTCATAAGATCTTCATGAAGTATCTGTTGATACAATTTAGCATCCATCATGCCATCAATCCTACAAAAGCCACCAACACCCCGAGATGTAAAACAGCCCCATATCATCACCGACCCGCCCCCAAACTTCACTGTAGGTTTAATGTGGAAATGGTTTAATGGTTCCTCTGGATGTTTCCAATAATATTGCTTCCCATCTGATCCAAAAACCTTAAACTTAGACTCATCAGACCATATAATCTTTGACCAGTCTTTGATAGTCCAATGTTCATGTTCTTTTGCAAATTCTAACTGACGCTTTTGGTGTTTACTGCTGAGGTAGGGTTTTTTTCTTTTAATTCTTGATACTAAACCATTTGCATGAAGTATATGACGAATAGTAGGTGATGAAATACTAATATTTTCTTTTCCTTCTATACATTTTTGGACCTCTGGAGCAGATGAGCACCTTTGCAAAGTTATGAGATTGACAATTTTATTTTTTATTGTTTCATTTATAGTAGATGGTTGACCTGGTTTTGGTGCATCTTCGAGGGAGTGTTGTTCACACCATCTTTTATTAATACGAGAAACTGTTGAGGGCTAATATTTGTTGACTTTGCTATTTGCCTTGTAGTATGTCCATTTTGAAGAGAAAGAAGAATTTGGACTCTTTCTTCCGGAGTTGTATGAGGCTTTTTTGTCTTGGCCTTTTTACTAAAAAGTTGTAACAATGGGTATGGCATGTAAACAAATGCAATAAATTTCCTTTCATATAACATTAATGTAGCATGACTACGATCCCCTGATTCTTGTATAAATGATTAATGCAACACATGTTTTGTACTAATCACACTTTTATTTTAAGATTGGACATAGAAATAATTATTGAAATTTATATATATATATATAACATTATTAACAAACAAAATTATCAAAAAAAAATACATATATCTCTGAGTTTTTGCAAAATATTTCAATTTAACAAATTTATTTTTTTGCTGCATTATTTATGATCGCCACTGTATCCTAGAAAGAGAGAATTATCCTAACTCGGGAGAATTATCTTGGATTAGGAGAAATATCTTAATCTAGGCTAATTATCCTAAACTAGGATACATATATCAAACTTGTATATAAGGAATGAGAATTTGCTGTAATTGAAGAATAACTTTGTAACAAATTAACTTAATAATAAGTTAATAATTAGTTTTGACTAAATACAAAATTAAATAAATCATTTTTATCAAATCACTAAAACAAAATTATTTGCTAATAAATCTAATTCGTTGGTATTAGCCTATTCATTCTGATCCACATAAATTAATAAAAATCTGTTATCATCAATTAAAATACGCTCTCCCAAAATTAATTGGTGACAATATTAACATCAAGAAATCTGTTATTATTAAATTTGAATAAATATCATATCAAGAAGAATTTTATTATCATTAAACCATCCTTAGACCTCAATCCATTAGTATTCATTAATTGAGGCACACTAATTGAGATTCACTGTTTAATATAAACTTAAATTATCAAATTAAAAATATAAATTTAATATGATGTTAAAAATTTTAGGAATCTGGTTTGATTTGAATCGATTTTTTCAGAGGCTTAAGCCTAAGTTATATTGGGAAGAGGTCAGGACAATATAAAAAGGTCACTATATTAGGCAGGGGCCAGTAACAATATAGTGGGAAAGATCTTTAATTATCTTGAGGCAGGGGCCAAAACCAGCATAATTAAAGTCACTAGAGGGCTAGTGGATTAATGTTGAGTGAGTATCATGTTAATTAACCAAACTTGGATCTCACACTTGCAATAGTAGTTCTTGAGTTCTGAACTTTTAAAGTTTGTGTAAACTTTAGGAGGTCTTTAGAGGCTTCGCACCATTATTTTACCAGAATTAGAATTTAATGCTGATTCGTTGGCTTAAGGGTAGAAGGAAATCATGTGATTTTAAATAGTAATTAAATAGTAATTGACTGGCTAATAATTTTCATAACCAATTAACCTCATACAATGCTATACCCAAAACTTGCTTTAGTAAGATGTAAGGTTGTGGGTAAAATTCCTCCAGAAATCAATTGACAGAGTTTTGACAGGTTACACATTAATTGTTAATTAGAGTTTCGGCAGAGTTTTACATTTGGGGATTTTGTCAATCATCAGAGTTTTGACAGTCACTAGAAAGTTTCAGCAAGCAACCTTAGTAAGATGTTTACTATTGCAGAATCTTTTCTTAATATGTATCCAATCATATAGTCATAAAAAAAAATAATATCATGTTAAAAGGTTCTTTTAAAAGAAAATCATGTAAAGTCAAAAGTAATTTTCATATCACATATAAAATTCTCAAATCACTATTAAACATATAACAAATTTTGTTGTAGAAAGTATATAACAGTTTAAATAAACATTAAATATTAAATCTTGAAATGCTTTTACCAACAAGGAGTTCATTCATAAGGTAAGTGGTATTACTGTATTAAATTGAATTCTATAAAATAACCTTGTTTGTATGTAAATTTAGAGACATTCATTAAAAACATTCTAATTTAAAAATACCATTTCCAGTGCATTAGTATTGGCTATCAACTAGGAGAGTTGAAGGGTGATGATGGTAGTAGAAAATAATAACAAGATAATATTTTAAATATCAATATTTTTCATGGAAATTATATCAATCTTTCTTTTTGCTTTAGAAACAAAAATTAGAATTCCCTATTTTTTACTTGGTATTTTTACAAATAATCAATTCATTATTGAAAGTTAGATGTATTAACGCCACAATTTATTTTTAAATAGGGAAACGTGAGAAAGAACAGGAAAATATTTGTTGTGATAATAATAACCTATTTATTTTTATTCTTGGGGCGACATTGTCAATTTTTGTTGATGTTAAAGAAAGCAAGTGGAAGGAGAATGTTATATTAAATATTTTCTAGTGCCAAATAATAGTTGATTGTTGAACTTATTCTACCTTCTTTTACCCACTTCACTCACCTTCAATAAAATAATTTATCCCGATATTATATATTATTATTGTAATATGCAACTATGCTATAATGATCGGCGACCAAAAAAAAAATTATCATATTAATATAGTAAAATCCGTGTTACGGACACTCTACCCTTAATTTTTGTTTTGACAATAGTATTGATGGCGTACAAGCCTTCCAACCTTCCAATGCCTCTATCATTGGAAGGTTGTAAGTTGCAAACCCTTCCAATCTTCCAATGGCACATCAGGATCATGCAAACTTCATAGAAAGCTCACTGCCGAAAATTATTTATAAATTTAACGAATGTAACAATCATCAACAGGTCAATTAATTTAGTGATAGCAATCTGTAGGTCAAATTATTATATACATCAAAAAGGTTGGTTAGATTTGATAGGGTCAAATCTATTAGTATTAGTAGCCAAATATTTTATTAGAGAACCAAAGATTTGAGTTTTATATTAAATAAATCATTAAAAAAAAATATAAAAAAAATCAATCAATTATAATCAGTTGATTAGTTAAACTTAATTTTGGTAACAAACAGAAATTTTGTGACCTGATTGATGGTTACATTATCTACTGTTTATTTACTATTACTATATTCTATTTTTTAAAAATTATATAACTTTATTTAGTAGAAATTGTCGTGTCTAATTATGGTTGCTTAATAGTTCTTTCTGACCATACCATGTATATATTTGTTTTTAGAAAAAAAATAATTCAATTAATGCAATATTTATAAATAGTTTATTATTAATAGCAGTGTATTAATAATAGTAGTAGCAATTAAGTAATATCAACTAAAAATATTTTGATTTTAAATTTCTATTACCGGTAAAAAATTAAATATACAACGTCTTATCAAAAGTTTGCATCTTGACAAACGTTACTGTATGTCAAAACACTAATGTATCTTCTAAATAATCATATAATGATAATACAGTAATCATAATAATTGTCCGTGATTATTTTTTTTTTGGAAAAGAAAAAAATTAATTAATGCAATGTTTCTATACATAGTAGTATATTATATTGATGACATACATGTTTTTAAACAATTGAACAACTCTAATTATATTATTCAAAACCCCCACTATAAATCAATTGTATTTATATGATGATAATAAATTATAATTTACTGATTACAATGTTTCACTCTCCATTCTCTTGCATTTAGCCCATAATGTGAATGTGGCTTTATTTCGCCCACCGAAACTAGATTTATATTTAATTGGAACAATTAAAAACGATTCAGGATTCTGACTATTAATTAATTTTTCTTATTATTTGTTTATTATGAATCGTGAATTTATTATATATATCCAGGATCTACATACAAGAGAGAATAATTTATATTATTTCCATTATTCTTTCGTTCTCGTTCTCATTGTACTACTTTTTAATGTGCCACTTACATTTGAGACAATCATGTTTAAAAATTAAATCTTTTAAAAGAAATCTTCTATTTTGATGAATTGATAGTAACAAATCTTTAGCAAATACATCATACAATACATGGTGTCCGGGTACAATCAGAACTCGTTAAACCGATGTACTTGTTTTGGGCTCAAAACATCGTTTTATCAAATATTCGTTTTATCAAGTAATAAAACGAAGTTAATAAATATATTTTAAAAAAAAATTCGGTTTAAAAAAGTTATACATCAAAATTTACATATTCATCTATACTACATTGATGCGCTAGTGAACTTTAATATGATAAAATGCCACTTCTAACAGAACGAATACTATCCTCTAGACTTCCTTGCATAAATGTTTATTATGTGAATTCGGATCTTCTGGATCAATAGCAAGATATTCTGACTTTCGTTTCAATATGTCACAAATAGTATTTTTCACGTACTTAAAACAAATAGCAAGGTATCTATTCGTTGGAGTAGGTTTTGATTGTTTAGAACACATATTTCTCCTTTATCTTTCAACGTCAGTGTATTTTTCATTTTTAATTTTAGAGAACAATACGTACTACCACTCTGTAAATAAATCATTTATACAAAATAAAACGAAGTTTCATTCGATAAACCGATATTATTTGTCTTATCAAGCTATAGTTTACTATATATGGAACCATATGAAAACATCGTCTTAAACATTAAAGTGAAAAATAGGAATCTTCGTCTTATCGAGTTGATTTTATTATAAATGAATTGGTAAACTAGAAAAACTTCATTATAACAAGAATTCGTTTTATCGAGTTCCGACTGTAATTAAATTAATTACATATCTATTAAACAAAAAATAAGTTTTAAGTATTTTAAAAATAAAAAAGTTAACTTATTAAATCCAATTCTTAAATTTTTTCGTAAAAATTGATTTGTAAATAATATTCTAATTCAACTTGACTGCAATATTATCAGGTTTCCTGTTCCTTTTATAAACTGTTAAGTTTGCTGTTTCTTTTTTTTTATGTTTAAATTACATACATGTCATTAAAGTACATACATATAATATATTATTCTTATTATTCGTAATGCTGCCATTGGAAAACGTTTGATCAAGTTTGATCAGGGTGAATAATATAAAATAGAAGTTTGAAATTTAGCATATCAATAAAAAAATCTTTTTTTTTGGAACTTATCATATGGCAACTTATTTTTAATAACATATTAATAACGAAAGAGCTTTATCTGTGATTTTTCGATTCACAAAGAAATTAAATAGATTCTTAGCAACGGTTTTTATTTGAACAAAAACATTAGCGTGAAAACTCTCGCTGTAATTACAATATAAATAAAGTACGTCTATGGCTTGAGACGGCATAAATATTCTATATCAAAATGACCAATTTGAATCCATCCATAAAATAATATGTTGAATGTATTATTTACTCACTCACTACCTATGATATATTAAATATAATTCTCATCTGATGAATGATGAATATTAAATATTAAATAAATCATAATTGTAAATATTAAATTTTTTCATGAATTCGCCATAGACTAACATTCTCCAACCATTAGTCGTACCTTCTTTTGGTCTTTACATTATTTAGAACAAAGTTATGTGATTAACGTTTACAAATGTATTTTCTAGCTTTTGCAACGAAAAAATAATTCAATTACTAATCGGAATATTAACAGAACCTGATCTTTCTATTAGTATTGTTTTAATGATTTAATTTTATTTTATTATTTTCAAAGTGAATGTATGATTTACCGAATTAATTCATTTTTTACTGAATTACATATTGATACTGTTGCACAAATGTAGTGTAACTACTGCCAATCATTTCTTAAAATTGAATACCCGCTAATGATTTTTTTTTAATATTTAATATTAAATACATGTAACATTACTAACAAGGATTTACGGAAACATACGATTTACATTCTAATTTGATATGCAGGCGTAACAAACGAGCATAGTAAGATAACAATAACCGACATCTACTCATTAAAGATAATCAACCGGGTGAAAATATTAAACTCTATTTTCTTAGTACAATAACGAAGGCTTGAATTATATTTACTTTACATATAAAAAACATACGTGTAACATATTTGCAGGAACCACCTTACAAAAACATTTATTTATGGTAGTTAGACTGCATCTATCGTTTGCTTTTTATAGTATATGTGGTGGTTTTTAAAAAAGAGTTTCGGGATTTTCGTATAACAAACGAATTGCATTCGTTACAAAAAAAACTTTGTTATTTCTATCAATGGTAGTTGAACCGCTCCTATCGTTTGCTTTTTATAGTATAGGTAAATAGTTTTTAAAAAGAGTTTCGAATTGTTGAGATTTTCGTGTAAAATTGTAAAGATTTTCATGTAACAATCGAATTGAATTCGTTTACAAACAAACATTTTTTAAATAAATAATTTACATTTTTCTCTTTCTCGATTAAAAAAAAAATACTTTTTTTTTCAAAAAAATAATGGAAAAATCAATCCAAAAAGATAAAGTGATAATTACTCAAACTAAAAATAAAAAATATGAATCGGAAGTTGCATCAATTTATTCAACATTTAGTAGAAATTCTAGAAAAGTATCACGACAAAGACAATCAACAATAGAAAAATATCAAAAACATGATAATAATTTAGGTAGTTACTACATTGCCTCTAGTCACGATGGAGCTTTCGTTGCCACCTTTAATACCGGTAACTAAAATTAATTAAATTAATTATTATTTCTTTGTATATAAATAAAATTCATGGTTGCTTTAATAAATATTTGTATTTATTGAATAATAGAAACATATGAATTGGTGTATTATAAAACGGAAAATCTTCAAACCTCAATTCCTGTTAAACATCCAATTCAAAGGGACATAAATTCACCAATCACACCCTCTAATTTATGGTGGTCTTTAACAATCTCAAATGGCCTAAATCTAGACAAAAATAAAAACAAAGGCAAAAACAAAAACAGAAACAACAATGACGATGACGATGACGATTCTGGGATCGACGATATACTAATTGCAGTGTCATGTTTCGAAAATAAAGATATGATGCAGCAGTCCCCACAAGAAACATCAACAACACAAGCAAATGAGACCAAACCTTCAAGATCAAAATCATCGTTGTCACCAAATAATACAAATATAATGGATGAAGATTTTGAGAAAGGAAGTGATTTTGGAGTTGTAATTGAACCAAGAACTTGGGTACTTTCAATTGCTCAAAATAAACGAATCAATACTACCATTGATGATCGTGGCGGAGTGGTAAGATTTCTGGACAATCGTGTTACACCAGACACAATTCATTCCGACGAGGATGAAGATTCCAATTACAAATTGGAACTGATATTGATGAATTCTTCAGGAATTTATAAAACCAACATTTATCCAAAATTAAAATATAAAATTCCAACATCAGTTTACGAATTCTTCTATCCACCAGCTGACCATCTAAAAGTCAGAAAATTATTCCAGGATAATCCATGTACAAGCTATTTGGAAAGTTGTGTTGAGAAAAATTATTTTTTTTCAGAGAATTTTAAAGCTGCAAAAGTTGATATTTATAATTTGAAAACTGGTGATCTGGAAATTTCTTTATGTAATCATGCTGCTCATCCATCATCAACGATTAATGATTTAACTGAATCAATATTTGCCATTTCCAAATACGAAAGTATGGTTGTACATTGTGGTGGTACAAACATCATTACTTTATATTTGATGGAAAATGGTCTAGAAATCACAACAAAACGTTTTCCTCAAATTTCTAGAATCTTGTCTATAACATTTGTTGATGAAGATACAAAATTATTGATTGTGGCTCAACAAGATTATCTCAATGATGATGATGATGATTTAGAAAAATCCAAAATTATTACCTCAATTATAATTTGGGATATTTTTGATTCTAATAATGATAGCAACTTGTGTAAAAAACTTGATGTTGCTCCTTCAGATTTTAACTGTTTACTTTATGCTTATGATAAGAATTTTTTCACATCAAGCTCTGGTAAAATTTATTCTTTAGATGAAAATGGTGAATTATTCTCTTTGTTGGACCATCCTGATATTTCTAATATCTTGAACAGTAGTTGTGATGATAATAATGACATGTTAGCATTAGAATTAGATGAAAATGAATCACGATATTATCACATGATTTATGAGTTGGATGGTAGTTGTGCTAGTCTAAACAATTATCATGGCAAATTGATTGTCAATAATATTGAACCTTGGATAAATCATAAATACAAGAGGATTTCAGTATTTTTAAATCATGAGAAAACAACTCAACTCATTATTGGATCAACTACAGTTCAGATCTGGCAAAGCAAAATTACCAAGAAGGAAAAAACCAAGAAAAAAATTCTCAAGTATATCTGGTCAAATCTTTCAAATAACAAATTTGATGTAGAATCAATTGCAGTTAGAAATAACAAATTCCATTTGAAATTGTTGGTACATTCAAATTCAACCAACACTCACCAAATCCATATCCATTATCCAAAAAGCACCAATGCAATAAAAGACGCATGTGAAACACTTGAATATCTCTCTCATCGTAGGAATGAGTGTATTGGTCCAAAAAATAATCGAAAATTTGAGGATTTATACTATCATACTGAGAAATTGGTTTTTATAAGTTTTAACAAGTCACCAGGTCTTTGGAGATTAAATGATATACGTTATGACATTATGGCAAATTTGATCAGGGGTAAAAATGTTTCATTGATTAAAAAAATCTTGTTTAAGGACAATGATAACACTGTAAAAGACCAAAAAAAAAATGCAGCTTTGAAAAATAATAAACATTACTTACACATTCCGCGTTTATATGGGTGGCCAAAAGTAAAAAAAGAAACCGATTTAGAAGTTGCAATCAAATGCGCTAAAGGTCATTATTGCATTATAATCATTTTATTATAAAAATTTTATACGTATAATAAATTAAAAAAAATTTTTAATTAAATATTTAGGGCAGAATCATAACCGTACAATGATAATGGGATTTTTATTAGAATATTATTCCAATCATGCATTAGCAAATGTTGGGTGGATGTTTACAGTGAGCCAAGCAGTCCCGTTATTATTATCTAGTAAAAATTTAGGTATGTGTGTGTTTATTTTTTTTTTTTTTGGTAAAATGTTGGTTTTTTTTAAACTTTTTTTCCTGTTCTCTCTCCCCGTCCCATAATAGAACTGTATCTAAAAGAATTATTTTATAAACCATGCTTTGGAGTAAAAGAAGTTTTGATTGACCAATGTTTTGTTGATCCATATGAATTAAGGAAAGGTGAACATGAGGCTGTTTATCCTTTAAGTGCAAGGCCAAGATTAATACAAAACGTCACTAAAAAACCTTCCTTAATGGAACGATTTTCCAATTTTAATTTGTTTAAAAGGTAACTAAACTTAAAAGTCTCTTCTTACTCATTACATTATATTTATATATATTCATTTATTTATTTTTTTTTTTAAAAAAAAAAAATCAGTGGTTATGAAGCAAAGAGATATATGGAAAATAGCAATGAATTAGGTCAAATGACAAGTGTTCATGTAGTTCCATTACCAGATTTTCTTCTATATCCAAATGGTATAAAAGATAAAAAGCTAGAAACAAAAAGTCTGTTCCTAAAACTATTAAAACTATTAATTTGGCCACGTGAATATGTTATAAAGAAAGAGGAGGATTCTAGTGCATTTTTGCAAGTAATTAAACATAATGGAAATGAATTAATCTTTGATAATCCATCGTTGGAAGCATGCATCAAATACAAATATCCTCCAGCAAAAATTTTTTATGCCAGACAATTACTGCTTTACATAGCTTTCTCAATTTCTATAATATATCATCTTGGTGTGACCACTTTCTCTAATAATAACTTTGCAAAACCTGATGATGCAAGAGAATATGCAAATCTTTTTTATAGTCCGGTCAAAAACACATATGTGTTTATAATCGTGCTATATTTTGGTTATTATTTGTTGGCTATTGAGTTCATACAAGTTAGACAAGAGAAAATTCAAAGATATTTCAGCTTATTCAATTTCATAGATATTATATCAATTGTAGTTCCATTTGCTACTTCAATAGGGAATTATATTATTGCTATATTTTCATATGCGGAATCAATTAACTTTATAAATCAAGGAAATGATGATTCACAAGCTCTAGAAGATTTTCTAACAGCAAGATTTGATTTAGTTAAAATAAATCGATATGCTATAATTATTAATTCTTTTGTTGTGTTGATCATATGGCTGCAAGCTGTAAGTGATTTATATTTTTGGTTATAAGAAAAGATAAAGATAAATTGCTTGTTGTTATTATAATTATCAATTATTATAATTGTTTTTTTTTCCTCCATTCACTTATACATATATATATATATATAGCTACTATTATTACGAGCTTTCGCACGTCCTGCATATTTCATCAATCTTATTATTGATATAATATCAAGTGTTTGGCCATTTTTAGCTTTTATGTTGATTGCAATTGGTGGATTTGGTCATGCAATGTAAATATAATAAAACAAATTTACATTTTTAATTTCCCATTTCTCTATATAATAAACACTAATTTTATTCCTTCAATATCTTCAAAATTAAAAAAGGTACATATTATTAAACGATCCAGCTAGTATCGGATTAACCCCAAACACCTCAGGTTATGGTGTAAGTGACACATCAATCCCTGAAGGAGATCCTAATCCTTACGCCAATATAGAAATTGAACCAATTGTTAATGTAAAAGATGTAAATGATAATTTTTTTTTCGATTTTGGGAAATCAGTTGAATCTGTTTATTTTTGGCCATTGGGCAGATGGGATCAAATTGATCAATGGGATTTTTGGCCAGTTGATGCATTGAGCATATGTGAGTAAATAAAACATTCTTTTCTTATTTTATTTATTTTATTTTATTTATTTATTTAAAAAAATCTTTTTTTTTCAGTTGCAAGTTTATTGCTTGTAATTATAATGCAAAATTTATTAATCGCATTTATGACGTAAGCATACAAATTTCCAATTGATTATAAAATAATTTTATTTTAACCACTATTGATTTTTAAAATACTAATCAAATCAATATCCTCATACCTTCGTATCTTCAATACCATAACCTCATTGTTACCATTATTATTAGTGGTATATTTGAAGAAGCAAGTCAAAATGTGAAACAAAAAACCTTGAAAATTCGAGCAGATCTACTGGCAGATTATGAAACATTGGAGAAACCATTTGGTAATTCTAGAGGAAATCCACAATATATTTATTATGTTGGAAAAGCTAATGAGTTAGAAAATTGGTTATCGAAAACTGAAAAGTTTCATAGTAAACGATCCAAATCATTGTTGCTTGGAGAGGATGCTTCTTCGTGTTTGTATGATTTTGAATATGAAGAGTTTATTGATGATGATGAATGTGATGAAGGTAAAGATGATGTTTATATAAATGAAGAAAGTAAGAAAACGATGCATAAAGATAATGATGCTGATAAAATTTCTTCATCTAAACTGGATGGTGGAGATAAATACGGTGATAATAATGAGAAAACCTGTCGTCCTGGTGAAAATATGAGATTTGTAGTAAGGACTTGCGAAATCGTTGATACTGAATTCAACAAGGAAACTAAGAAAAAGAATAAAAATGATGGCAGTAGTAATAGTAATGATAAGGGTAAGGATAAGGATATTGTGGATAATTCATTGACGAAATCTTTGGATATTGAAGAAAATTTAAATTCCTTACAAAACAATGTGAAAAATTTGGCAAAAAATTTGGATTCAAATGTCACAAATAGAATCGACACAATTGAAAATGATATTAAAGAAATCAAAGAACTTTTAAAATTAAATTTCAATAAATAGTTTGGATCAACTTTTTTTTTGTTATATACATTCAAATTATCAAAAAAAAAGAAATTAACTCATTTTTGCTTTTCATACCTCATTTATTTAATTATAATAATAATAATAATAATAATAATAATAATAATTAATTTATTTTTTACTAATAGTATTATATATATAGTAACTAAAACGAAAAATATTTATATCATTTTTAAAAAAGTTAACCGATAAGCTTTAGCACAAAATTTGTTATAAAATTTTAATTGTATTATTTATTTCCTTTTTTTTTTTATATTATATAATAATAATAAAAGTTTACAATATGTTTAATATTAATGAACGCGAATCTTGCTCCAAGTAATGCTGGTGGCATAACCAACGTCCTGTTTAGAAAAATACTGCATTTTCACATCATAGCCAAGGTTTCTCGGATTAAAAATCTTTTTTTTTTTTTTGTATTCAAAGTTATAGAAAAATGATCACATACTCGATGTCCAAAATTCAACTCAAAATTATGTGCGGCACCAGCTACAATATTGAAAATGTTGTCCCAACAGTGAAACATGGTGGCTGAGGCATAATGGTATGGGGGCGTTTTCGGGAAAAGGGCTAGGTCCACTAATAAAAGTAGATGGAAAAAATGAATAGCCGTAACTATATAGAAATACTAGAATTGCATGTTTATAATAAATTTAATGGAAGAGGGTATTTGTTTCAAGATGATAATTACATAAGAATCTGTTAAAAAATCCCCACCTCGACTATACGCAATGGCAATACTTACGTCAAACATCCTCAGTTCAGGAATCCAATTAAGAATTTTGTGATGACCGGTGTAATTGCGGAGACAGTTATAAAAGTTCGCCCAAATCCAAAACTGAAAAAATTACCATAAAAATTAATAAAGCACTTATGGTCTATAAAATAAATTTTCACACATACTGACCTTTACAGACGAAGAGTAAGTATAACAAACTTTGCCCACAACAATGGTCAAAAAGAGTTTGGTTGATAATCAAGTCCCTTTAGCCATACACCTACAAAACATACTTTTTAGGCTTTGTCAACCTATGAAATATGCTTTTTCGGATTCTCACCACCTACAAACGTGTATTGCACGCGTTTTTTCGGCTTCTTGGCACCGGCCCCGTGCACCTCAAAACATAAATGTTTCTCGGATTCTCACCACCTACCAAAACACAATAAGTGTTTCTCGGTTTCTCGGGTTCCGCCTACGAAACACAAGAGTTTCTCGGCTTCTCGGCAGATCTAGATCTAAGGGAATATTAAAAATATTTCCTTCGACTTCGATCAGGGAAACTTGTATTATCAAGCATAGTAGACACTGTTGCAGATCACAAAAAACAACTATTTCATTGGCCAAATTTTTGTCGATCTTATTCCAAATTATCACATAAAAATAAAAAATTACAGCATTAAAAAAATTTCAACTTTTGATAGTCAAACACAACTTAAAGCCAGCTTGGGATTATGGACAGGAAAACACAATATTTGTAATAAAATTAATCATTTCATTTAGGGAAAGCAATAAAAACTATTTATTTATTATCTTTGTTTATTTGTTGTTTTATTAATATCAAATAATAATAATAACTAACAATTGCATCTGTGGGTGACTAACATCGCCCAATTATTATTATATACCATATTAATATAACATAAAATTTCTGATCATACTGGTGCTTATATTCCAGACAATACAATGAATGTTATTTTAAATCACTCGTAATGACAGACTTGTTTTATTTTCAATTATCAATTGGAAATCGTCAATGAGTAAGTGAAGCAGTTATTCAATCAAGAATAAATATTTCATAATTATAATCTGCTATCTGTCTGAATGATTTCATCTTCAATTGGGAAAAGTTCGTGGTTAGGTGAGGCAATTGTTTAATCAAAAGTTGCTTTTATTTCCGATATTTATAATGAATGTAATTATTTTTTATTTTCGTCTTCTGTAATAGTTTAAATTGCTCAAAAAACCTACATAGCAGAACAATTATCTTGTGGTCAAAAATATCTATGGATAAAGTGAAATTCTAATTGCCTTCTAAAAATGAGTTGTACATTCTGTAATTTATCACTGCTTGTAGACTTTCTCATTAAAAAACATCTTGTGTGATCCGCTGACAAGGCATGATGTTGACTTTTTTGAGTCAACCTTTGCCTTATCATTATTAATATTTGAGACCAGTTCTGAGATTTTTGAAATAACATTAACAAATTCAAAGCGCATACCATATGTTTTATGGGAGGTATATTAGATTTTTGTCTTAATAGTTTACCCATCTTTAAATCAAACCCTTGTTTGAGGAAAAATAATAATCATCTTGGTACAGTGAACCCTTGTTTCAATGAAGTATAATTAAATTTTTGATACAACGAATTTTTAAAAACATCGTTACACATTATGAAAACATATAAAATTCATTGAAACGTGATTAGTAACCTTGTTTCAACGAATGTTGAATAAAATTTCTTATATGTCCAGCCACTTTGTTGAAACAAGGGCAGACTGTACATATAAATTTCATTACCAAACATGAAAATTTTTTTACTAGTAATAATGATAGTAAAATAAGTATTTATTTACTTATTTATTTCTTATTCCACATCTTTATTAATATATATATAAACTAATTTTAAATATAATAATGTAAAACCTTGAAAAGCAAAAATTGTCTAATGTTCTCTTTAATACACTTCACCTGCCAAAAGTATCTGGCAGTGTTGAAAATTCGGTGCGGGGAATGTGGGGGTGTAACATTACACACCAATCAACCTTTTAATTTTTGGAGATAGTTTCTAAATTTGTACTGGTTACACAACGAAATTTCAACACTGGTATCTGGACAAAATGCAGATCATGTAAATTTTTGTGCCATTTCTGTGTTACACAAAAATACTCGAAAACCAATAAGAAAATCATGACTTTTGTTCTAAGTAACCAAACACACTATAATAAATGTTCGAAATTGCATATTTCCGTTAATATATACAATTATGATTCTTGTGATTAGTAAGCAAGTAATACAAATTTAAACAGACCTTAATAAAACTCCTCACCGAAAAGCAACATTAACTTTTAATTAATACTATCCTACCATTGGAATGTCTTTGTTAGAATAGTTATACATGTGGTTCAAGCTTAATAGAAGAAAACCTAAAACTTTATGAAAATCTTTCTAATGAAACATTTATTTTTATGCCTTTGATAATACTGAATACCAAGTTGAACTTACAACAAATCAGAAAAATTTCACAAAAGAAATATCAAATTGAATGCAATTAGCAATAATCAATTTAGCTAAAGGATTTAAAGAGATTTGTAAATTACTGTAAAGTTCCAAGAGATAGCACCCCCGTTTTTGTTATTCGCACCCCTCCCGTGACTAAGTGTAGTAATGTGACCAATGAATGACTTTAAAATGTGACGATTTTATTGGTTCATCTTTGTCTTAGTCACGGGAGGGGTGCGAATAACAATTCTCTTTTTTTTAATTAAAAAGTCACTTATTTTATCATTCAATTTCATATTTGCATTATTTTATCCTTAAAAAAACCCCCTCCATATAAACAAAAAACTTGACCCACATATAAACAAATCAATGATCATTCTATTCAACAAGAATTTAAATAAGAAAAATAGTTACATGGCCAACTTTTCGTTTTTATAATATATTAATTAATTAATATAAAATGCCAAAACAACGATCTTTACAAGTCAAAAGAAAACAAAGAAACGAGCTGGCAGATGACAAAGTCAAGTAAGAGGTGCAGTGGTTGAATCTGCATATATAGTTAGAATGGTGGATTTATTTCTTATGAGCTATATATATATATAGTTATTGTTATAATTACTATTACTTTTTAACTCACTTTATGGCGAATTATTTAATCATTTTGTACAGTGAGTCTGATGTAATTACAAGAAATGATTTGATAATAACTGGTAATTTAAATATTTATGTAATTCCATGTTTCACTATGTATCATCATTAAGATCTTGGATGTTAATAAATTTATTTGATGAACCTTCATCATTATCTCCAACACAAATCTAACTTTAGGTCCTGGTCATGAATATGATGTATTGAGTCAATATATTGATTTAAATGCCTTTTTTCAAGAGATAAAAACAATATACAGGAAGTTGTGGCACCATTAAAACCTATGGAAGTCTTTGAATCAGGGTTGGCAAATTGACTGGTCCATTGAGAACAGATGGATTTTGGACTGGTCCATTGCCATTAATAAAATACTAAATATGATTAAAGTGTTGCACTAATGGACCCAATGGACCACCAATGGACCATCAATGGACCACACATTTGCCAACCCTGCTTTGAATTATTAAAGATCATTTATGAAGTATCTTTCATTGTAATCTATTGTTTTCATCCGGAAAATATAAAAAAATTTTACACGTGTCAATTGTAAGTTTAATAATAAAAAAGTGTAAAACTTACGTCGGCACTGTAAGATTTACACAATATTACGTCGGCATCGTAAGATTTATGCAAGTTTACGCTAAATTAATTTCCTGATGTTATTAATTATCAATAAATTTTATGGCATCATAATCTAATAAAAAATATATTCAAGGGAGAGAATCAACATTTTGGTGGGAAAGAAGATATAGAGATCATCAATACCAGTTTACCATCACCATCAATAATAAAGTAAGTTATTTTGTTCAAATTTTTTTTTTAAAAAGGAAAACTTTAATTATTTTATCTTACTACAATATATATGTGTGTATATTGATAATGTTGGACTTTGATTACTAGTGAAGAAAATCATGATGCAAATTTTCTGGAAGAATTTGCTTGTGGTACTATTGTTGCTTATGTGCCAATACTGATTCAATACTAGTGATGTTAGCCGGCTAATAATCTGCATGCATATTTTTTAAATTTGGTAATAGATTTCTGCATTACTTTCTTGTTATAGAAATAAAATTACCAATTTAGGTAGTAAACGGCTTAGCCGGCTAAGGATTTTTAAACGGCTAACATCACTATTCAATACATGATGAAGATGGAAATTCAATACTTATTGATGATGAATTGGTGGTTATTAATGAGCGGTTGGGGCCTTGGAGTGGATATGAACATTTGCTCTTGCTTAAAAGTGCATTTAGAAAGAAAATAAATTGTATATTCTTAAGAAGAATAGTATATGTAGATCACATGAAAATATACAAGCAAGGTGGAGGGAAATGAAGAAAGAAATTATGGCTTATTATGGAATTCAATGATGAAGAATTATCATTTATAATATTAGTGAATGTCTTTGTAATTGAAAATTTTGTTTAAATTGAAACATAAAATTATTGTTTTTATTCTCAAAAGAATTTTCTATCTTTAAGGAGATTTTCCTTTTTTATGGGGTTGGATATTTGAATGTGAACAATGGATTCTAATAACTATATTGTAAACATTCAAATAATTATCACAATTATTTACAAACATTTAGATATTTATTCAACAATTGTTGTAAAATTAAAAAAGTTATCTTTATTTGTTTGAATTTTACATCTTTAAATAATAAAAATACAATTCTTAAAATACAAATATAAACCATAAGAAAATAAATAAATATATTATCTATATATTGTATGGAAGCTTATAGACTTCCCAGAAAGTATTGATCATAATTAAAGATAACTTCTTAATTATAAATAATATAAATAAAATAATAATATGATTATGTCCCCCACAATATAATATCCACTTTTCTTAATAAAAATAATAATGATAATAATATGTATAATTTTTCACCAAAAATCCGATTGCCAAGTAACTTAAACGATAAAAAAAAATATGAATCCCTCTTACCAAATATGGTAATAATTGTCTCACAGAGCACGAATTAATATGTTTAGTTATTACATTGTAAAACTAGAGATATGCACCTCATTGATCATTATTTGAAATCAGTAATTGTATGTACCTTCCAAGTTATTTTTTACATATTTTAAAATAAACAATAAATAATTATTATGTTTTGAGTACCAATAGTTATTTATTATTTTGTGTTAATAATAAATAAATGGGTACCTCATTAGTTAGCCATTTCTTTTTTTTTTCACATTTAAAATATTATTTTAATTTTTCTTTTTTTTCAAATTTAAAATATTATTTTAATTTTTCTTTACTTTTCATATTTATCAATTATAAGAACAAATTTTATTTTGTTTTTATTTTATGAATATGTCTCGTCCTAATATTTTGTTACTTGTATTTTATGCATTCCTTACTTTTGCATATGCTCAAACTCCAGGTATACATCATTGATACATTTATATATAAGATAATATATTTATTATTTTTTCAAAATTTTTGCCAAATAATAATATTAATATTAATACCTTTAGATGTAAACGACACCAACCCCAATCCAGATCAAAGCGCAACCACAACAGATGAAGGATCTGTTTCTTGCAGTGATAGTGGTTATATAGCTGAAGAATATAATCTAGGTCTTCATATTGCTTCATTTTTTATAATACTTGCAACAAGTTCATTGGGTAAAAATAAATAACTAATTATTAATTTCTCTTGATATTAATTATAACATTATTATTAATTATTAACATTTAATATCACATTAAATGACAGGTGCTTTTATTCCAGTTATATCTACTAGAAACCCCAACTTGAAGGTTCCAAAATTAGTTTATTTCTGTAAGTATTGTTAAAATATAAGCATTCATATATTGTAATTATATAATATTAATCTATGTGTTATTGTTATTTTTGCAATTATACTTAGCCACAAAACATTTTGGTACTGGTGTTATTCTTGCAACTGCTTTTATTCATGTAAGTAATGGCCAAATGAGAAATCAATCCAATATTTAATCGTTTTTTTAAAAAAATTTTATCTTGATTTTCTATCTAGATGATCCCCACAGCATTTGAGGCATTAAGCGAAGACTGTCTTCCAGAAATTTGGCATAATTATGCATGGCCAGGTGCAATTTCTATGATGGCAGCATTATTAGTTTTTTTCATAGAATATTTGGCCACAAATTATACTGATGAATTTGATGATAAAAATAAAGAAATTCTCCCAAGAAATGACGATAATATTAAAGGAGCTGCTGAGGTCACTAATATCAGTCAACCAAATGGGACTTTAGTTGTGCTAACTAATAGTTCACAAACAATCGGTGTAGTAGTTTTAGAATTTGGTATTTGCTTTCATTCAGTAATAATTGGAATGGCATTGTCAGTTACTAGTGGGACTGAGTTTATCTCTTTATTATGTGCTTTGGTTTTTCATCAGGTAAGAATAAATTAATATATATATATGTCTTTCAACAATAACTTCTAAATATGTTTATTATTATTAAAGACATTCGAAGGTTTGGGACTTGGTTCAAGAATTGCAGCATTAAAGTTACCAGAAGGCAGCTTTAAACCATGGCTTATGTCATTAGCTTATGGTGCTACAACTCCACTTGGAATAGCTATAGGTTTAAGTGTACGTGAAACATATAATCCATCGTCATCAACTGCTCTCATAGTACAGGGAGTTCTTGACGCAATATCTGCTGGAATATTGCTTTATGCTGCATTAGTTGAATTGCTCGCAAGTGACTTCATTTATGGTTCCCAGTTTCGAAAATACTCCACCCTTCAAAAATTATATGCGTTTTTTCTTTTGCTTCTTGGTGCTGGAATGATGGCTTTGATTGGTGTGTGTTTATTTATAATTTTATTTATGATTTTTTTATTGTAATATTTACATAATATCAAACTTAAATATTTAGGTTATTGGGCATAAATCTTTCAATTCTTGCTTTTTTGGTTTTTTTTTTCTTCATGACATAAACTAATTAAATTAATTAAATTTATGCATTTAAAATTTTAAGTTATTAAAAATTTTTTATGTCATTTCATTTTTCTTTCTTTGAAATAAAGTAAATATTACTCAACTGTAAAAATAATAAATTAATCTTCATGTACAGTGCAGGTTACCTAGTCGCCAAACTTTTATTGATTTTTTAATCCTCCAAAAAATAGAAAAATGATAACATATCTTCAAAGCTAATTGACGTTATTTTATTGTAGGTTTAATCTAATATTTAATCAATTGCTACAATTAGCATTAATTTTTTTTATATTTTTGTGGCGTGTGATGAATTGAGTTGCACATTAATTACAATTATTCCAACAGAATTTATCATTTACTTCAAAAATATTTTTAAAAGATTAATTGATGAAGAACTAGATAAGGATTTCAAAAATATCGAAAAACCAACACAAAAAGATGATTTGAATTTAAAAGAAATTTTTACTTGGATATTGATGAAATTGATTTTAAAGAATCAAAGAATATAATTTCAACACTACTATTGAGAACTTATCAACAAAATTGTGCCATATTCCCGTTTAATTCCTAATGAGGAGCCAGCTTCAAGTTTATCGCCACAAAGAAAACAAAAATTGAATCAACAACAATCAAACGAAATCTTATCTTGCTTTTTTCAAGTTGAATTGTTCGAAAAGTACACCATATGATTAGTTCAGAGATTAGTGATGTTAACCGACTAAGAAATTTATCGGCTTAGCCGGCTAAGAAATTTTTAGACCGCTTAGCCGGCTTGAGCCAATCAAATTCTATTCTCAAAAATAATAAAAAATATTCATTCATTCGTAATGCCGCCAAAAAAGAAAAAGAAAACTAATCCACAAAATAAGCAATTAATTAGTTCCAACACTCATAGCAAAGCAAATTCTTGGTCTGGTGGGTTATTGCATAACAATATTAACAATGGGTTAAATAACAGTAGTAATATTAATAGTGTTAGTAGTAGTGGTAGTAGCAACATTAATAATTGTATTAGTAGCAGTAGTAGTAATAATCGCAGCAATGATAATAATAATAGTAATGATAATAATAGTATTAATAATAATGAAACATTTGATTATTAATCGATTTTTTATTATGTTTTAATTGAATTTCTCAATAAGAATAAATAATTCATTTGATTCAAATGTTAGCTGGCTAGAATTTTTTACCATATTCATCAACAGTTTTGGATACAAATTTCTGATTGGCCAATTTAAATTTCACGCACAACATTTATATAGTAAAATAATAAAAAAACCCCGATTTTTAGTGAATTTATACAAAGTATGATATTTGTCTTATAAATTATTAGATAAAAAATTTATTCAAGTTCTTAGCCGGCTTAGCCGGCCAAGGCTTTTCTACCGGCTAACATCACTATCAGAGATATCAAATATAAATTTAAACTTTTATAGCAATAAAGATGATAATTAAAGTCTCCACCTATTTGGATTTCGCGAAACGTCGAAACCTCGATTGGTAGTAGCAACGTCGAAGCCCATCAGCCAATAAAAAAATCAAAATAATATATATTATTAAAGCATCAACAACATTTTTTTTTATTTGTAATTAAATATTTTATACAAACTAAGTGACGAAAAGGCTTGGTGGCAGCAATGAAAAAGACTTCAATATTAAAGGCCTATAGGGTTGTTGGGTGAAACCTATTTGGATTTCATGAAATCAAACAATAATAATAAGTCGAAATTAATGACACTTTTATCTATTAATAATTATTTTTGAATAAGGTCTTTGTTTTCTGCGCACCTGCACAACAATAAAATTTAAACAATTTTGTATACTTTATTTTTTAATTTTCGTAAGCAATGCACACGAATTTTAATATGCAACTTGTTATTGCAAGAGGTTTTAAATGTCCATATACACACATATATTCAATATAAGCTAGGTAAATGTTCAAATTTTCTTGCAGAAGGATCTTTCCAATAAGATGTGAAATATTTAAATGCCAATTATGATGATTTAGATGGTTTGATCCTACTTCTTTTTTTATTGGTAACATCACAACTACAAACAAGAGTTTGTTTTCATATTTCATTTTCAAAAATTTTCTGATCTATCCTTTCTAAACTTAAATCCTAGTTGTTGTGCCGATTTGTTCAATGTCCTTAATACTAACTTCCAAATTGGAAATGCATACTAAAATCTAATTTAAATTAGCTTCAACATCTAGCTTCTTGTTCTCATTCTCCTTCTCCTTCTCAGTAACATTACTATCTTCAGGAATGTTCACTAAAAACGTGGTGATTGGTATAAATTCGCTTTTGCTTTCAGAATTACTTGAAAGGCCAATTTCATTCATGATTACTAACAAA